CTATGAGTATGATCCTCAGGTTCCGGACCCAGTCCGTATAGTTGCTGCCATCATCTTTCAGCTTGGTTTTCTCTAGGAACACGTTGAAGTTCATGTTGACATGAGTGTTGGCCATTTGATCTACAAGACATATTTTGCAAAGGTTTAAGACTAAGTTCATGATAATTAAGTTCATCTAATCAAATTAATATAATGAACTCCCACTTAGATTAGACATCCCTCTAGTCATCTAAGTGTTACACGATCCGAGTCGACTAGGCCGTGTCCGATCATCACGTGAGACGGACTAGTCATCGTCGGTGAACATTCTCATGTTGATCGTATCTTCCATACGACTCGTGTTCGACCTTTCGGTCTCCGTGTTCCGAGGCCATGTCTGTACATGCTAGGCTCGTCAAGTTAACCCTAAGTGTTTTGCATGTGTAAAACTGTCTTACACCCGTTGTATGTGAACATAAGGATCTATCACACCCGATCATCACGTGGTGCTTCGAAACGACGAACTTTAGCAACGGTGCACAGTTAGGGGAGAACACTTCTTGAAATTTTTTGTAAGGGATCATCTTATTTACTACCGTCGTTCTAAGTAAACAAGATGCATAAACATAATAAACATCACATGCAATTATATAATAGTGACATGATATGGCCAATATCATATAGCTCCTTCGATCTCCATCTTCGGGGCTCCATGATCATCTTCGTCACCGGCATGACACCATGATCTCCATCATCATGATCTCCATCATCGTGTCTTCATGAAGTTGTCACGCCAACGACTACTTCTACTTCTATGGCTAATGCGTTTAGCAACAAAGTAAAGTAATTTACATGGCGTTCTTCAATGACACGCAGGTCATACAAAAATAAAGACAACTCCTATGGCTCCTGCCGGTTGTCATACTCATCGACATGCAAGTCGTGATTCCTATTACAAGAATATGATCTCATATATCACAATATATCATTCATCATTCATCACAACTTCTGGCCATATCACATCACAAGACAATTGCTGCAAAAACAAGTTAGACGTCCTCTAATTGTTGTTGCATCTTTTACGTGGCTGCAATTGGGTTATAGCAAGAACGTTTTCTTACCTACGAATAACCACAACGTGATCTTGTCAACTTCTATTTACCCTTCATAAGGACCCTTTTCATCGAATCCGCTTCAACTAAAGTGGGAGAGACAGACACCCGCCAGCCACCTTATGCAACTAGTGCATGTTAGTCGGTGGAACCGGATTCACGTAAGCGTACGTGTAAGGTTGGTCCGGGCCGCTTCATCCCACAATACTGCTGAAGCAAGATAAGACTAGTAGCGGCAAGCAAGTTGACAAGATCTACGCCCACAACAAAATTGTGTTCTACTCGTGCAATAGAGAACTACGCATAGACCTAGCTCTGATACCACTGTTGGGGAACGTTGCAGGAAATTAAAATTTTCCTACGGTTTCACCAAGATCCATCTATGAGTTCATCTAAGCAACGAGTCAAGGGAGTGAGTTTGCATCTACATACCACTTGTAGATCAAGTGCGGAAGCGTTCAAGGGGATGGTGATGATGGAGTCGTACTCGCCGTGATTCAGATCACCGATGACCAAGTGCTGAACGGACAGCACCTCCGCGTTCAACACACGTACGGTACGGGCGACATCTCCTCCGTCTTGATCCAGCAAGGAGGAAGGAGAGGTTGAGGAAGACAGCTCCAACGGCAGCATGACGGCGTGGTGTTGTTGGTGCAGCAGTACTCCGACAGGGCTTCGCCAAGCACGTACGGAGGAGGAGAGGTGTTGGGGAGGGGAGGGGCTGCGCCTTGGCTTAGGTAATCAGCCCTCCCCTCACCCCTCTATTTATAGGGGAAGGGGCAAGGGGGCCCGGCCCCTCTAGATGGGATCTAGAGGGGGGCGGCAGCCAGGGAGGGGGGACTTGCCCCCCAAGCAAAGGGGAGCGCCCCCTCTAGGGTTCCCCGCAACCCTAGGCGCATGGGCCCAAGGGGGGGCACGCCCAGCCCTCCAGGGGCTGGCTCCTGCCCCACACAGTCCATGTGGCCCCCCGGGAGGGGTGGCCCCTCCCGGTGGACCCCCGGAAACCTTCCGGTGGCCCCGGTACAATACCGATATGCCCCCGAAACCTTCCGGTGTCCGTATGACAGCTTCCCATATATAAATCTTTACCTCCGGACCCTTCCGGAACTCCTCGTGACGTCAGGGATCTCATCCGGGACTCCGAACAACATTCGGTATTCACATACAAGTCTTCCTAATAACCCTAGCGTCACCGAACCTTAAGTGTGTAGACCCTACGGGTTTAGGAGACATGCAGACATGACCGAGACGGCTCTCAGGTCAATAACCAATAGTGGGATCTGGATACCCTTGTTGGCTCCCACATGCTCCTCGATGATGTCATCGGATGAACCACGATGTCGAGGATTCAAGCAACCCCGTATACTATTCCCTTTGTCAATCGGTACGTTACAAGCCCGAGACTCGATCGTCGGTATCCCAATACCTCGTTCAGTCTCGTTACCGGCAAGTCACTTTACTCGTACCGTAATGCATGATCCCGTGACCAAACACTTGGTCACTTTGAGCTCATTATGATGATGCATTACCGAGTGGGCCCAGAGATACCTCTCCGTCATACGGAGTGACAAATCCCAGTCTCGATCCGTGTCAACCCAAAAGACACTTTCGGAGATACCTGTAGTGCACCTTTATAGTCACCCAGTTACGTTGTGACGTTTGGTACACCCAAAGCAATCCTACGGTATCCGGGAGTTACACGATCTCATGGTCTAAGGAAGAGATACTTGACATTGAAAAAGCTCTAGCAAAACGAACTACACGATCTTGTGCTATGCTTAGGATTGGGTCTTGTCCATCACATCATTCTCCTAATGATGTGATCCCGTTGTCAATGACATCTAATGTCCATAGTCAGGAAACCATGACTATCTGTTGACCAACGAGCTAGTCAACTAGAGGCTCACTAGGGACATGTTATGGTCTATGTATTCACACGTGTATTACGATTTCCGGATAATACAATTATAGCATGAATAAAAGACAATTATCATGAACAAGGAAATATAATAATAATGCTTTTATTATTGCCTCTAGGGCATATTTCCAATAGGGCGATCCCCCTAGGCGCAGAAGGCGAAGAGGGCCTCGAGGCCACCTGCCCCAAGCCTCCTCCAACGACCGGACCTGCCACCTGCAGTACCGGCCCAGCGAAAGGTGAGGAGGGCGCCGAGGCCACCTGCCCCGACCCCCCTCCCGAAGGTACCTCCTCCGTCCCGGAAGCCCCGATCGTAGCAAGAAGATAAGGGTGCGTCGAGGCCACCTGACTCGAACCCCCAGCTAAGCTCGGAACCACCACTTGCAGCTCAGCCGTCTCAACATTATCCGAGGGAGGCGAGACCACTATCTCCGGACCCCCCCTCCGCACCAGAATCCTCCACGCCCGGGCCCTCAAAGTCCAACGCAGGTAAAGAGAGCTCACAGACCTCCAGAGACTCCACCCGCTCGCTCCATAGTCTCGGAGGCGCGATCTGACATGGCTGCTGCTGTTTTGGCCGCCGGTGGCCTCCGCAAGGTGCGGCTGCCCGCTCTACGTCTCTTCATCGACGGATTGGCCTTGGTTTGGTGCTCTTGCCAACACCGGTGTGGGTTGTTGAGGTGGCGTTCGGAAGCTTGGCTGAAAACCCTGTCTTGGTCTTGGGCCTATGACAAACAATGGTGACGCCTGTAGGCGTCGTGGACCTTTTTGGAGGCATCGCTGTCTTTCTTCCTCACCCCTCAAAATGATAAAACTCAAAACTAAGAATTTGCAGATATTATCTATAACTACAATTTTCATATGCAAAGTATTTTTATGCGACATAATACTAGAAGGATATGGTTTTCTGTAAGGCGTCAAGTCCTGTTACACGATTTATATGCTGCTGGAACTTGATATTAATTTTTAACATCTTAATTAATGTTCTCAAATGAAAAAACTCAAAACTATAAAGGTACAGATATCAACGAGAGCTACATTTTTCATATAAAAATTTATCTGCATCGAAGATTGTATGAAAAAAAATACGTTTTTTAAGGTGGAGCCTTGCCCCTGACATGTGGATTCCATCTATTACTCCCTCCATTTCTAAATATTTGTCTTTCTAGTTATTTCAATAAGTGACTACATATGGAGCAGAATGAGTGAATCTACACTCTAAAATATGTCTATATACATTCATATGTAGTCATTTGTTGAAATCTCTAAAAAGACAAATATTTAGGAACAGAGGGAGTAGATTTTATGTATAACGGGTCAGGTAAACGCATGTTTAGACTTGGACATATAAGACATGTTATAATTTCAGGGACTAATTGAAAAAAAGCATTTTAGGACCCTGGAAACCTAGACGACACCTTTACATAGCCTTAAAGACCATAGGTGAATTTTACTCGCCATGTTTTATCTACGCGACAGCCGACAGCTAACTTCTGACTAAGACCACTAGAGGCTATACCTGCCTGCATGGCGTCTGCCCTAACACGTGAGACTCTGGAATATCATCACGGACACGCAAAGGTTAGAGGCTTGGGATAGTAAAAAAGCTGCAAATACAGCTAGCCTGTCGACTTTGTCTTTTTAGTTTTTTCTTCTTTTTCTTTTCCTTCTTTTCCTTTGTGCCTTTGATTGGCGCCCAATCAGAATGGTAGCTAGAACTTGAATTTTAAATGCTACTACTATAGAACATCACAACTAAAGTGGATGCGTTTAGTAAAGCTGAAGGGTTCCTAGATGTGCATCGATATCGAACATCCGAACAAGTTAATCCGACATGCACTAATAAGTTAATAGTACTACTAATCGTCAGCGGAAGCCGCAACCATTGCGACTACTAGACCCTGTGTCCTTGCTTGCCGAAACACACACACACACACACCACACACACACACACACACACACAGAGAGAGAGAGAGAGAGAGAGAGAGAGAATGTTCGATGTGTGGAGTGCCGTGGGATGGTGGGACAGGTGGCAGCTGCGCATCCTCGTCCTCGGCAGCCTGGGCATTCAATGGTTTCTAATGGTGGCTGCCCCCATGCGCAAGTACACCGTCCGGCGCTCCTTCAGGCTATGCATATGGCTTGCATACATTAGCAGCGATGCTGTGGCCATCTATGCGCTGGCCACCCTCTTCAACCGTCACGCCAGGGCGACCAGCAGCAGCAGCAGCAGCTGCGATGGCATTGCACACAACAAGGCCAAGATCCTGGAGGTCCTATGGGCTCCTGTCCTGCTCATCCACCTCGGCGGGCAGGAGGAGCTGACTGCGTACACCATCGAAGACAACGAGCTGTGGACAAGGCACACCGTGACCCTAGTGTCCCAGGTCGCGGTTGCCATGTACGCCTTCTACAAGTCGTGGCCTAACCCCGGCGACTGGAAGCTATTGGCATCAGCGGTCCTGCTCTTCATCATTGGGGTCGTCAGTTTCAGTGAGAAGCCATGGGCCCTCAAGAAAGCCAGCATTAATAGACTGGCGTCGGTGTCGGCGACGATACAAGGAACACAGAAGCGCACAAGATTGGCGGTGTACTTGGACGATCTCTTGTTCTCCGATTGGTACAACTGCTCCACCACCAAGTCCGGCGACAAGAGTAGCCTGCTTGCAGGTGTGGGTTGGCACAACTGCTTCTCCTTCACCGAGTCGGCGACCAAGAAGCAGCCGGCGGAGCTGGCGGCGGGTGAGGAGGACAATGTGGGCTTGTCGGACGGTGATAAAGTCTATATGGTGCTCTCGGACATGTCGCTCTCAGCTGCTGCCGATGACCTTGTGCAACGAGGCAGAGCTCGAAATGTGCGAGACGTTCTTCGGCCTCTGAGCACCAAGGCGGAGAAGGAACTCAAACGCTGGCTGCGTGGTGCGTTTGGGCTCATATATACCAGAGCTAATTTGGTATTCACTCGCAAGTACCTGGTTTACCATGTGCTGGTGGTGCCCATCCTGCACATCGCCGCCCTCACGCTGTTTGCGAGGAGCGGCAAGGACGGGTACAACCGCACGGACGTGAAGATCACATACATCCTCCTGTGCCTCACCGCCGCGCTGGATGTTTTTGCGGTCTTCATCCGCCAGCTACTGTACCGGGCGATGTCTGCAAAGAGTGTCCCGGCGTTGTGCGAGACGGTACCAGGCTACAACCTCGTGGACGCGGTTCTCCGGCGGAGGCACAAGGACATTGGGCGGCTGGTCAAGTGCGCCACCGGCATGGGCTGCAAGGAAGAGTACTTCGACTACTGCAAGTGCGAAGGCGGCGGCCAAGACTACACATTGTACAAGAATGTGTCGGAGATGGTCCTTGCGGATCTGGTGGATGCACAGGGCCGCGACCTCGCCAATTACAGGGTCTTCACGGTGCCAGACGAATCAGGCGCCGCTGAGCTGCCGGTGGAGGATGCTGGGGCAGGTGCCGAGATAATGCAACAGAGGCAGAGCAGCCCGACGGGAGCGGCCAACTGGGCTCTAAGTGAGGAGCTGCAGAAGGTGTGCGGCCCCAAGGTACGGGGCGCCCTCCGCGGGTCGTTCGACAGGAGCGTCCTCGTCTGGCACATCGCCACCGACCTCTGCTACCGCATGGAAGGTACTCCTCCTGCCGACGGCGAGGAAGACTCGCACTGGCTTCGCATCAAGTGCACGGAAGCAATATCCAGCTACATGGCTCGGCTGCTGAATTTCCACCCGGACATGCTGCTCACCGGCAGCAGGCAGCACCTGGTCAGTGAAGCCAAGGATGAATTCGAGTTCTTCTTGGACCGCGCCATGGTAGGTAACAGCGGCGAGCCGCTCAGCAAAGACGACCTGACCAATATCATCGACCACGGGCCGGAAGGGGAACGCTTCCACATGCAGGTGCCCATCGGCATCGATAATGAAGCTGAGGACAAGGAGGCAATAAAATCTTTGTTCCACGTCCCCAAGGCATGCAGTCTCGCAAAGGAGCTGATGAAACTTGAACCGCCGTCCACGCGCTGGAGGGTGATGTACCGGGTGTGGCTGGGCATGCTCTTCTACTCCGCCAGCATGTGCAGGGGCTACCTGCACGCTAAGAGCTTGGGTGAAGGTGGCGAGTTCCTCTCCTACGTCTGGCTCGTCCTCTCGCTCAAGGGTGCCAGGACCCTGGCCGACAAGCTTCAGATGCTGCAGGGAGACGACGAGGAACCACAGATTCCGGAGGGATCGGCGCCGAGGAACCAACACCCTGATCGACGCCCACAACTACCTGGTTTGGAAATCCCCCGTCCAGATGCTTGAATTGGATCGTCGATGCCATGATTTTGTGTATCAGTTCTACTGTTTGTTTGTTTAATTTCTAGCCGATGCAACTATTGCCCGGTTTGTTTGTTGCATTCCTTGCGTGGGCGTTCGCCCGCGGCTTAATAGGCTCAGCCCCTGAGTCTGATTCAGTTTGGTTCATTTGTTGTCTTTGTGCGATTCTGGTGTCTACTGCTGCATGTACCATTTCTACTCCCTCCGTTCCAAATTGTAGGTCGTTTTTGACTTTTCTAGATTCATAGATGTTTGTATGCAGCTAAATATAATGTATGCCTACGTACATATGCAAGCATCTATGCATCTACAAAAGCTAAAACAACCTACAATTTGGGAGTATATTATACCTCTGATATTAGAACAATTTGAAAAGAGTTTTTATATCCTTCCTAATTTATAAAATTGTGGTAAAAAAAACTTCAACAGGCTCTTTAATTAGATATTCAAATATAGCCACCATCTATTCCGGATTTCTTTCTAGCCAAAGTGGAGAATAAGAGGTTACCCCACAAAAATAAAAGAAAAGTGGAGAGTAAGGTTGGCTTTCTAGAATACGCACAAGATATAGAGAAAACTAGATCCTTGATGGCGCGTGTTGCCGCGACCATCTATTTTTACAACAAAATGATAGGAGATTTTATAAATATATGGCCACACATTTGTATAATCATAACAATATATTACTCAACAGTATGCGTCCATCTATATTTATGATAAAATGATACTATTTTCTAAATATATCAAGATATGAGGCATGAAGGTTTAATTTGTATAAACTTACCCCATATTAGGTAGTAATGTAAGTAGTGAATTTGAATGGTTTTGCAATTGAAGAAAGAAAGAACATGATGCACCCAAAGTAAATGGTTTTTTCTTTTACAGTTTATTTTGTCACATCATTAGAGGAAAGTTAGGAAATTGCACAGAAAAACTACTTATTTTAGTTAAATGCGCCCTTTCCTGATTAGGTCCAGATTTTGCATAATACCCCCTCCGTTCCTTTACGTAAGGTGTATTATTTTCAGCACGGTAACCAAAGCATATAATTATAGAGGCGTTAGGAGAAAATTAACCTTGACAAATTTGTTGGTTAGTGCCAAGTAAATCAGTGAGTCCAGGATAGTAAGAGATAATGCAATCGAGAGAGAAATAGTTTCCTTCTTCTGAAACAAGAAGAGATACGGGAAATCAGGCGGAGAGATATACTTTCCTCTTTCTCCAGAGATAAAAAGGAAATTATGAGGATTTAGAACAAATGCACCTTACATTGTGGAATTTTATTAAAAAACAAATACACCTTATATAAAGGAACGGAGGGAGTAATGATGAAAAGAGCTATAGCTAGAAAGAAAATTATATGCAGTAGCATGAATAGTTGGAATTTTACGATGAATGGCAGCAAAGATCATCAGGAAGCCCCCGGAATAGAAAAATAACAAGCATCTTCAGCATCCACAAAATTTTTCCATTGGCGCCGTGTCCTGTGAAAAAAACCTGATCGCCTAGAAGAATATGCCATCCTTGTTGTAATTGATTCCAAATAACCCAAATTATAAGGATAACAAATATACATGGGTAAGTGATCAATTGATTTCCTTAGAAAGAGGTGATAATGTCCAGCTGTGGGGCACGAACTTTGGCAGCAAAGAATGATTTTAGTATACTGCAATTAGCTCCTCTTCCCCACTATGCGTAGAAATAGCAAATGGGAAATTTATAAACAAAGATGATTTGTAGCATAATATGTCTATACCTAATTTGAGGCTGTATGTCATGATGTGCATCTGCAACCTTATAATTTCAGATTTTCTAGTGAGAACCTTCATATCACTTTTGAAGTCGACCATTACGTATTGCGCACATATCTTTCTTGCATCAACCTCATAAATAAAACACATTACTCTAATCTGAACAGAGAAACAAAAATGAGGCATCACTGATTAGGTGGAAACTGATGTGCTATTTCATAAAGACTGATAGTTTATTTAACTGGTCAGAATTTTCCAACTGAAAAAAGAAATTAGACAGAAATTGATGACCAATTACATAGTAAAAGCATTCCAAACCTTCTTTTCCATACCACTCTATTCCTAGTTGTAAGGGGTTTTTCTTTTTTGCGGAAGTAAGGGTTTTTGGTTTCACATGGATAAATTCGATAGAATGACGCCGAAAATTGTAGCAGGTACAAACAATATCAAGATCGATTATACATCCAAATCATTCATCATCGGTCTGATCATACAAAAATAACGAACCTTCGCAAACAGAGTTTAAACTTTAGAAGTATCCAAATTATGCGGAACATGACAAAACATAGGAATTACATGAAATCTATTGTATGATTTGGGTCCGTGTACATGGAAATGAAACAACCAAACAATAGCATCTGAACAATAAATGTTGTTGATCAGCATATCAAAATGAAAATGCCAACAATTGTTGGCTTGATTATCAGGAAACGAAAGAGCTCATTGTTATTTACCTGAAGCAAAAGGCAAAGGTAAAACAGAATGCTACTTACATAGCCCGCAAAGGAGTTTTGTAATCTCCCCTGGTGGTACAATTTTCAGTAATGACTGGTCTAGCAGTGTGCATCGGTCACTCTGCACCATTTCCTTAATAATCATTTCGAATAAGACATGGATGTGGTCCTTAGGTGGTTGCACGTACTTGGCATTCTTTCCCTCGCGCTTCTTGCGCTTGAAATCCTCAATCCGCCGTTAGCTTGACCGCTGACACCTTTTTCTCTGCATCACCCGGCTTGCACCTCTTGGCATCCAAAATTTTCTGCCTCTTTACCTGAAAGTCATAATTGATGTAGATTGTCAATGTATAAATCCACAAATCCACAGCGGCGCACAGTTGCTTTTTGAAACAAAACGATTCACAAACAAACTCATAAATCCAATACTCTAAATCCCCAGCCAGCAGTGATATGGTTATGGAGCCGATTCAAGGTGATGGCGATCCAGTGAAGAGCTTGAGAGGCACTGTCGGTCGCCGTATTGTGCGTGTGGGATGAAAGCCACCTCCTAGTATCGCCCTAGTGGGAAAGTCTAGGTGCGTCGCCGCCGGCCACCACCACCTCCAGAGTTGTCAGGATTTCTCGAACATGGAGAGAGAATGCGGGCGGCCAGCGACGTGAAGGCCAAGAGGGCGCCGACGAACTGTTTGCTGGGCCAGCTCGAGGAGGATCTTGGAGCAGCAGAGACCTCGAAGCGGCCCACCTACCTTCGAGCAGCTGCGACTTGGAGGCGGCCGCCGAATATCCTATTTGCCGCTTGTTGCGTCAAACTTCCGGCGCTTCGCACAGCCGAGCGACCGAGCAGCGAGGCAACGGGCCGGCCCGTTTTAACCGTTCCAGCACTCCCAGTTTTGAGAACCTTCTAGAGGTTCCCAGCTGTTTTTTTTCGGTTTTGGCAACCTTCTAGAAGGTTCCTGAACCGGTTTTTTATTTTCCTTTCTTTTTCTTTTTTTTTGTTTTTCAAGTTTATGTTTCCTCTCTCAAAAAAATGTTCGTGCTTTTACAAAAATGTTCAAAATTTGAAAAATGTTCGTGTTTTCAAATTTTGTTCACAAATTCAAAAACTGTATGCATTTATCAAAAAAGGTTCAGAATTTTCAAAAAATATTTTGTGTTAACAAAATTCTTCAGAATGTTTTTGTTCAAAATTTTGACAACTTTTAAAAAAATGTTCGCGATTTCAAAAAATTGTTTGCAATTTTCCAAAAATGTTCAAGAATTTCTGAACATATTCATTTTATATTTTCTTCACGTATTCAACTTTTGTTCATGTATTCAAAAAGTTCAACTTTCAAATTTGGTTTGGAATTTTTAAAATTGTTTTCTATTTCTAACTTTGGTCTAAAAATGTTCTTGTTTCCTTTTCGGTTTCTTTTTTCTTTTTCCTTTTTATTTTTCAATTTTTTTTTAAAAAAGTTCATGTTTCAAAAATGTTCGCAACCTTAAAAAATTGTTCCCACTTTCAAAAAACCATCAATTTTTTTTAAAAATGGCCGCATTTTCCAAAATTGTTCATAAATTCAAAGAATGTTTGCATTTTAAACAAAATGTTGTGGGATTTAAAAAATGTTCGTATTTGCCTTTTTTGGTTCTCTTTTTTTCCATTTTCGATTTTTGTGTTTCAAGTTTTTTGTATTTCTCTTTCCTTTACTCTTTTTCTTTTTTATTTGTTTTGTAATTATTTCTCTATTTGTTTCTTCTTTCTATTTTTATTTTCCAGAATTCTAAAATTTGTTTGAAATTTCAAAAAATGTTCTGAAGTTAAAAAATAGTTCCGGTTCTTAAAATTTTGTTCAGAATTTCCAAAACAAATCATGAATTGTTTTACAAATTGTTCGCATATTTTGTAAAAATGTTCACCTTTAATAAAATTTTCATAAATTTTAAAAAAATTCCTGTTTCGAAATATGTTCTGAATTTCTAAAAAAATGTCCGCCTTTCAAAATATGTTCATAACTCCAAAAAATATTCCGATTTTTAATTTTTGTGCACAAATTCCAATAATGATCATAATGTTTGCTTTTTCATAAATTTTGTTTACAGTTTCAATTTTTGTTTATAGGTGCAAAACATGTGTCCTTTTTGTCCAAAATGTTGTTTTAAAATTGTTCAGTTTTCGGACATTTGTTTATAAATCCAAAAATGTTATTGTTTATAAATTTGTTCGCAAATATTCAAAAATTGTTCGTGTTTGTAAAAAAATTGGGATTGAAATTTTTTCCTCAGTTTTCAAAATTTGTTCACAAATTCAAACATTCTATCCATTTTTAAATTATGTTACCTATCCAAAAATTGGGCAAGTTTTTCAATACTTATTCGTGTATTACGAAAATTGTTCAGAATTTCTTTTGAAAGTATTCAGAGTTTTATTTAAATTTTCGAGAAAATGGAAAATATTTTGATATGTCGGTTTTGTTAATGCTAAGGGACTTAGCGCTGCATTGTTGTCAGAAGTGGT